TCTGTGAGGCAAAGGCTAGATTCTGTAAATATTAAGTAATTGATTGTTATAACTGATACCAAGTTGTCATTATATTGCTCCCCCACCCCATCATCTCAGTGAATTTTGTTAAGATTCATGACTTTTTCCTTCCTCCTTGAAGGAAGTGAATTGTATTTTCACTTCGATGTGGACAGAGAAACTTGCCTAAAATGTTGGGGAAAAATCTGCTGTCAAACCAAAGCAGCAGCAAGCATCTTTGGTAAATCAGTTATATGAAATACGCTTTGATGTCCAAATGGCATAAAAGCCTAAATTCTTTTTTTCAAGACTGTTCAGCAGCTTAAAGCATGAAGCACTCCAGATATAAAGTAGGGTGATTACTGCAAAGTTCAACTATGGAAGCAAATGAGTCAAACACAGGAGTATCAGATAATTTTTCATAATGAATACTGAAAAGGATTTCACTCTGCTTATGAATCTAGGAAAATCAATTATAATATTTTGAGAGTTGTGCTATCAACTATGACATTCATTTTTTTCAGCACATTTATAGATTGATTTCCTGAATTCTCAGAAAACCTGTAATTTGCATCTCAGGTTAGTGTTGTTAAGTGTGCTGCTCCATGCCTTCAAGTTGCCTTTTATTGCAGAATTTACTACCATATACACATTTACTGTTTTGAAGTACAATTAAACAGTATAGAAGACCTTAGGCAGACTGTAGGAAAGGATCTGGTTCGAGACTATCTTAAGAACCTGAATGTACACAAGTCCATGGGACCTGATGAAATCCATCCGCGGGTCCTGAAGGAGCTGGCGAATGAAGTTTCTAAGACCCTGTCCATCATATTTGAAAAATCACGGCAGTCAAGTGAAGTTCCCAATGACTGGAAAAAGGGAAATATAACCCCCATTTTCAAGGAAGGGAAAATGGATGACCCAGGGAATTGCAGAGCAGTCAGTCTCACCTCTGTGCCTGGCCAAATCTTGGAGCAGATTCTCCTGGAAGGCATGCTAAGGCACATGAAAAACAAAGAGGTGCTTGGTGACAGCCAGCATGTCTTCACTAAGGGGAAATCCTGCCTGACCAATTTGGTGACCTTCTATGATGGGGCTATGGAACTGATGGATAGGGGCAAGGCAGTTGATGTCATCTACCTGAACTTGTGTAAAGCATTCAACACTGTCCCACACAACATCCTTGTCTCTAAATAGGAGAAACATAAATTTGATGGATGGACCACTCAGCGGATAAAGAATTGGCTGGATGGCCGCACACAAAGAGATGTAGTCAATGGCTTGATGTCCAGCTGGAGACAGGTAACAAGTGTTGTCCCTCAGGGATCAGTGTTGGGACCAGTCTTGTTCAACATCTTTGTTGGTGGCGTGGACAGTGGGATTGAGTGTGCCCACAGCAAGTTTGCCAATGACACCAAGCTGTGTGGTTTGGTTGATACACTGGAGGGAAGGAATGCCATCCAGAGAGACCTTGACAGGCTTGTGAGGTGGGCTGATGCCAACCTAATTAAGTTTAACCATGCCAAGTGCAAGGTCCTACACCTGGATCGGAACAATCCCAGGCACAGCTACAGGTTGGGCAGAGAAGAGATTCAGAGCAGCCCTGTGGAGAAGGACTTGGGGGTGTTGGTTGATGAGAAAATGAACATGACCCAGCAGTGTGCGCTCGAAGCCCAGAAAGCCAACCGTATCCTGGGCTGCATCAAAAGAAGTGTGACCAGCAGGTCAAAGGAGGTGATAATCCCCCTCTACTCTGCTCTTCTGAGACCTCACCTGGAGTATTGTGCGCAGTTCTGGTGTCCTCAACATAAAAAGGACATGGAACTGTTGGAACAAGTCCAGAGGAGTGCCATGAGGACGATCAGGGGACTGGAGCACCTCCCGTATGAAGATAGGCTGAGAAAGTTGAGGCTGATCAGCCTGGAGAAGAGAAGGCTGCGTGGAGACCTCATAGTATCCTTCCAGTATCTGAAGGGGGCCTATGGGGATGCTGGGGAGGGACTCTTCATTAGGGACTGTAGTGATAGGTCAAGGGGTAGCACGTTCAAACTTAAACCGGGGAAGTTTAGGTTAGATATAAGGAAGAAGTTCTTTACTGTAAGGGTGTCCTGGGTTCAGCAGTAGCAGTCATTTTTCTCCTTCTTAGTAGCTGGTGCAGCGCTGTGTTTTTGACTTACGGCCTGGGAACAGTGCTGATAACACCAGTGTTTTTAGTTACTGCTCAAATGTTTAGTCTGGCCAAGGACTTTCTGAGCCTCATGCTCTGCCAGGGAGGAGGGGAAGTTGGGAGGAAGCAGAGACAGGACACCTGATCCAAACTAACCAAAGAGGTATTCCATACCACAGCATGTCATGCTGAGGATGTAGAACTAGGGGAGTTACCCGGAAGGGCTAGTGAACTGTGGGGTTGGGCTAGGTATCTAGGCCTTTGGGAGCCTCAGCTGGGTCCAGCCTTGGGCACCCGGGACAAGTGGAGGATGCAGGAGACCACCCAGCATTTCCCAGCAAGTCAGAGGAAGATCTGGACTCAGAAAAAGAGAAGCTGCTTGTGAGAGAGCTGGCAAGCACGGCAGCTACACCAGCCCCAGTGACAAGTACAGCAGCATCATTTGAGAGTTCTGAAGGTTTTGAATGTCCTTTGGGTACCCTTGGGACCTGCCTGCTGATTGTGATTGGGATCACCATGTTGGCACAAATACAGTGTGTTTTATCCATGACCATTTCGTCTGATCTTGAAAGTTAAGAGGAGTTGTGTTTGGGTCTTGTCTAGGATTAGATGACAATATAGGAGGACCAACAAGAGATTTTCCCCAAGGCTGGACAGTCATGAGTGTCAGGGTGTGTGGGACAGTATGGGCAAGTATCTAGTCCACTGGGCCCCTCCAGTGCTTTGGAAGCATTGTAGATAAAAGGCAACTGTATGGAGTCTCCAGCGACAAGATGCATAAACTGTTGAAGGGAAGGGTGAATAATTTTGGGCCTAGTGGGCCCATGGCACTTCAGGCCATCAGGGCAGAGATGCAACATAGAGATGGACTCATGATCGAGGGGTGGACTTAGCAATGGACACTATTGCCCAGTTTAATCATGAGTGTGAACACTGTACACAGCCTCTCCTGTCCCGAAAGACTGTTACAAGAGATGGAACCTGACATCATGGACCGAATAGACTCAGCAGCATTTTAGGGACTGGTCCATGCACTAAGATAAGAGTGCACTGAGATAAGGGTGATGGTAGATGGAAAATGTGGGATCTGAGCATGACGTGAATGGTATGGACTAAGGGGTGCATACTGTCCTGTGTTCAGCAGTAGCAGTCATTTTTCTCCTTCTTAGTAGCTGGTGCAGCGCTGTGTTTTTGACTTTCGGACTGGGAGTAGTGCTGATAACAAGGATGTTTTTAGTTGCTGCTCAGATGTTTAGTCTGGCCAAGGACTTTCTGAGCCTCATGCTCTGCCAGGGAGGAGGGGAAGTCGGGAGGAAGCAGAGACAGGACACCTGATCCAAACTAGCCAAAGAGGTATTCCATACCACAGCATGTCATGCCGAGGATGTAGAACTAGGGGAGTTACCCGGAAGGGCTAGTGAAGTGCGGGGTTGGAGGAGGTATCGGTCGGTGCTCGCTCGGGCTGGGGGGGCAAGTTATTGGTTGGTGGGTGGTGAGGTGTTGTATTCTCTTCCCTTGTTATTTCCTTTAGCATTATCATTATTTTTGGTGGCAGTAGTGATTTCTTTTATACCTTAGTTACTAAACTGTTCTTGTCTCAACTCGTCGGAGTTGCATTCTTTTGATTCTCCTCCCCATCCCTCCGGGAGCAGGGGTAGGGCAAGAATGGGAGGGGCTGAGAGAGAGGCTGAGCGGCTGACTGGCTGACTGTGTTTAAACCATGACAAAGAGTGGTGCGGCACTGGAATGGGTTGCCCAGGGAAGTTGTAAATGCTCCATCCCTGGTGGTGTTCAGGGCCAGAGACTTGTGTGACATGATTTAGTGTGAGGTGTCCCTGCCCTTGGCAGGGGTGTTGGAACTAGATGATCTTAAGGTCCTTTCCAACCCTAACTCTTCTATGATTCTAATATCATCAACCCTGACATTTATATGCCAGCTACTTCAAGCAGGAGCTGATTTCTGACCACCTTCAGAACGGCAGTAGTCCGTTTAAAGAGTTTTCCAGCTGAATTTAAGTATTTAATAATGTCTTGTCAAAAGAAGGCGTTTTTTAGAGGGTTTCTACTTGCTTGTTTTGCACACAAATAAAAATCCCTGCAGCAAATGAAATGCTTCATCTTGCAAAGTCCTCTGGAGATCCAGGTATCTGCTGTGGGTATAATTTGTCTAAGTCTTCTAAGCCATTTCTCTCTTGGGTGGCAACATGCAGCATGAGCCTTGTTTACATTTTGTATGGAGAGGCAGCAGAAGGGATGTTCCTCACCTGCAATGTTCCTTGTTAAGGATTGAAGATGGGACAGAATCCTGGTGGTCAAGCCATTTTTCACACATCTTGACTCCTTGTAGGAACACAAAGTTCACATGAAAATCAGAATGAATTAAAATGCTGCCCATTTATGTCAGCTCAAACCAAGGTCATGAATTCATTATTACAAGTGCTACTTGGAAGAATTTGTCTCTTATAAAGTATAAACTGGATTTTCAGTTATTTTTCTAAATATTGATGGTGGCATAACTATTCAACTTGAACATGCAGTGAGAAATGCCAGATCCTTGTGAAAGAACTGATTTGCACCATAGAAAATTCAAATTCAGAAAGAGACATGCACAATCTAAAATAATCATGACCCTATTTTAATACATGTTATTCTAAAATAATATATTATGTTTGTTATTCCAAGTCTTTTATAAATAAGTTATTAATCTATGTATGTGTTTACGAGTAAAATAGTTTATTTTTCTGTATTTTTTGTGTATTGTTAAATTACTAGCAGAAAAATGTTAACTCTTTACCTTAGACATGAAATTGAATCATCTCGAATTTGTCAACAGGAAGAAGGTGGAGAGTGATTATGAGGCTCTTCAGGATCGACTCCATACATCGCCTAATAAACTGTCTTATGATATCATGGTATGTACGCTGTAGAGTTCACACAAGGAAATGGGCTAAAATTTTTAGTAACTGATATCTGCACTGGTAGTGAGGTGTTATTCAGGTGGCCGTGTAGTACTTCGTAATGTTATGGTTATTATGGTAATAGTTAAACCTTTGCTTTTGTTTCTTTCTCTTTGAAAACCGTTGTAAATTACAGTGTTTCTGACAACTGAGAACCAATGACATAAATGCTAATAGTAAACCTGACATATTTGATATGTAATTCTATTGTATAGAAAACTGTAATTATGACTGAATGTCCTGAGTTCAGCAGTGCAGTCATAACATGACTTATGTTACTTACTCATTTCCTGAGAAGAGCGTGGCCATAGTATTTCCTGATTCATGGAAATAAACCCTAGAACATTGATTTTTACGTAAAAAGGTGCTGCTAATTTTTGTTTCACAGATCTTCATATTGACATAGCGATCTTTTCTGGTGCTTTGAATCTTCCCTAACAGCTGCACAGCTCCCTGTGTAAACTTTACCCTGTTGGCTCACCAGAATTTTGACCAAATTGGCTTTTCTCTCTTTCTTTTGTCCCTCCTCCCTTCTCAGGTCCAATTCAAGTTATATCTTTGAAGGGAGGGAAGTTGTACTGTAAATAACTGAATGGCTGATTTCATCCCAGAGTGCCTGGCTGCTTTCTTCCTTTGACAGCTTGGCTCAGCATATAGAGTTGAGTTGTTAGTAAGACGGCGTTGAAGTATTCTTACCATGTGGAAAAAGAGAGTGTTTCCCTTTCCTGTGCTAATGATTCAGCACTAGATTTTATGTGTGTAGTCCATTTACTATGTGTATATGTGTGGCCATATGTTGTAAAGCAAAAAGATTGTGTTGTTTTGAAGCATAGCAAACCCCCTTTTTTAAATAAAAAAAGCTAGCTAGGGCTTATTCTTAGTTAAAGCAGCAGTGTCAACTCACATCTGTTATTTTAAATGTATGTAAGTGGTTCCTATCCTGTTAGCCAAATATTTTCATATGTTTTCAGTTTTGCTTTCATCATCTTGGGGGAAGAGTGTACAGGCAAATAGTGCAGTCTGCTACTTGAAAACCAAGTTGGGAAGGGTACATGTGTAGGAAAAGTGCATTTGGCATAGACTTAATGTCAGGATGCTGCCTGCTGGAGAACTGTTTAAAGTCATGGTACCCTTCTGGATACTGGAACTAGGGAAGAACACTTTCCAAGGGAACTGATCCACTAGGCCAAGTGCTCTGCTTCAGTATAAATGTGTTGAGAAAGCAAGTGGCTATCCTGAGGAAATGAAGGAGGTGGCAGAGGAATAAAGTAGAAGGAACTGATACAAACTGGCTGAGACAGAACTCTTTTTACCCTAAGAAAGAGAAAACATGAAGTGGATGTGGTTTTTAGTGTTTTGCCACCTTCATTTTAACTTCAATTTGATTTTGGTCTCCTTTGCAGTTGAAGCCCAAAGTCAGCCAGACAGGTGGCAGTAGGTCTGAGGGGGCTGGTGCAGGAGGCAGGCGTGAGGGTGGCCAAGGCTTCTTAGGAACAGGACTTGCCCAAGCACTGTCTGTAAAGTGTGGGCTGTAGAAGGTTTCTTAATTCATGAAAACAATGTTCCAGGCATTGTAATATGTGTTAGAACAGGGCTTACACATCTTAAGAAGCACCTCTTAAAGTTGTAAAATGTGCTTATCCCCAGTGTACTCCTGTCTGAAGTATTCTGAGTCAGTATTTGGAGAGTCATTAGAGGATAGGTATTGCTTGGTGGAGCATTGCTTGAAGGTTGAGGACTGGTGAATGATAAAACAAAGTGAGCTTAAGCACAGTCTGATCCTGCTAGTAGCTCCGCAAACTCACACTGAGGTTTCTAGTTACTTACTATTAGCAAGACAGATATTGAGAAAAGCAACTTAAGTTTGAGTTAAGTTTGAGTATTTTTAACATTTTAGTAAAGGTAAACTTGCTGTTATTAGGAGATGAATGTAGTCTGTGTATAACAAATATGTAACTCACCCAAATGATAATATTTTTGTCATCAAGGCTTACATGTTTAGATTAAGTGGATTGTTTTCCATGCGAGCATTCCACTATTCTATAATTTTATGTCACAAACCAACTTGTCTAGTTAAATACTTTTCAGATTTTGTAAGTACAATACTAAATTTAAATTGATCTGGTCATTTGAATAGATACGAGGGGTTAGTCATTAAATAACTGCTGTAGAATTTTTATTTCTTTAACTCTGTATTTTATTTTTTGCTAAAAACTAAGGCATGAATGACTGTCTAGGCTTTATTTTCATTTGTAATTTTCAGCAGTTTCTTCTCTGCCTTTCACAGGTACCTTTTGGTCCTCTTGCCTTCATGCCAGGAAAACTTGTCCACAGTAATGAGGTTACTGTTCTGCTTGGGGAGAACTGGTTTTCAAAATGCTCAGCAAAACAGGCTGTTGAGCTGGTTGAGCACAGAAAAAAACGTATGTATGCTTCTGAACATAAATTAATAGTCAAAATTGTTTTTGTATTAATATATAAAATTAGTAGCATATACACTGTGATTTTATGAGCTTGCTAACAGAAGTCTTATTCAGATGTAATACCAGTTTAGCACCTTATTTTCCATCTTTATATTTTATTGGATATGTCTAATTTTTTTAAGGATCTAGCCAGAGCTTCTTTTTTCTTTTTCAGTGATGCATCAGCTTAAGTTACCAAAATTCAGGTTTTGATGTTAGATGTTAGAATACAAGAACAGTCAATATTTGTTCATGTTTGATATATGAAAAAGTAAAAAAAGAAAAGAAAAAACAAACCAAACTAAAACCCCCTTTCACTTTTCTTTAATGTGAGAAATGCTGTATTTTCTTCCAGAAAGTAGACATCACATTGTACTTTTGCTCTTAGTTACCTTATATTCTGTTTATATATTCTGCATATCTATTATAAACCTGTATTCTGTTCTCTTGTCTTTCTTTGCTGCCTTCTCCTCTGTTTTAGTTTTTTTTGTTAGTTTGTTTGTTTTTGTCCATATAATTTTCCAGCTTTCTTCTTTCTCTGCACATGCTTTACTCCTGCTTGTTGGTTTGGTTTTTTTTCTTACTTGCTGCTCAGCTGCATTTCTGCCTCCTGCCCTCAGCGTTCCTATCGATCCACTGCTTCTCCCCAGATGTCGTGCTGTTGGTGACCACCAAATTTATCTTCCATAGCAGCACATCACAGAGTCAGACAAGACAATTCCTGGTTTTGTTTTCAGCTCTTTTTAGTTGTTGATGAGATCTTGGCTTTGAAGAGCCAGGGACACCAGTAAGTAGTGTGCATGGTGCACTTTGAAACCTCTTTATGTTAGAAAGAATGAGGGCCTAAAATATTTGATGTAAACGTTAAGGAAGGAAAAGCACAGACTTTTCTCAGATTATTGGATGTGACAAAGTTGGACAACAGCCTCTGGTTCAATCTGTCTTAAAAGTCTCTAAGAAGCTTAAACCACAGGGTAGTAAGAGAAGGAGACTATGGAGCCTTTTTATGGGGGTCTCAATGAATTAAAAAAACTTTTTAGTTTGTAAAGTGAATTGTTTCTCGCTCTGTATGGTGCATTTTAAAATTCAGTGAATGACGCTGGAGGTGTTCATGATGCACAGTGGCAAGTTGAAAACACAAAACCCTGAGCTTCCCCTGCAGTTAGGTGAATGAGCCCTTTTCCAGGTGACCCTTTCCTCATGGGGTCCTGGCCACAGGAAGGTCTGTCCTTCAGCCTGCCCTGATATAGCAGTAGCAGTCAGTTTTTCTCCTTCTTGGTAGCTGGTGCAGCATTGTGTTTTGACTTTCAGCCTGGGAACAGTGCTTGATAACACCGATGTTTTTAGTTGCTGCTCGGTAACGTTTACTCTGACTAAGGACTTTGTGAGTCTCATGATCTGCCAAGGAGGAGGGGAAGCCGGGAGGAAGAAGAGACAGGACACCTGACCCAGGCTAGCCAAAGGGGTATTCCATACCACAGCACGTCATGCCCAGGGAGGTAACTGGGAGTTACCCGGAAGGGCACAGGTTCTTCTGGGTTGGGCTTGTTTTGGCGGGTGGTATCGTATTCTCTTCCCTTGTTATTTTCTCTTATCATTATTATCATTGGTGGTAGCAGTAGTGATTAGTGTTATACATTAGTTACTGGACTGTTCTTATCTCAACCCGTGGGAGTTACATTCTTTCGATTCTCCTCCCCATCCCTTCCCCTTGGGGAAGGAAAAAAAGAGGGTGGAAAGGGTGAGTGAGTGAATGAGCTGTCTGGCTGGGTTTAAACCACGACACAGCCGACTAGGAGGAAGGTCTCCCCTTTGGCCAATGGGGAGGAAGGTCTCCCCTGCTGCCGATGGGAGGAAGGTCTCTCTCCTTTTGCTTTCCGCGGGCAGGGCAGGCGTGAGTGACCTGGCAGGCTGGCTGCAGACAGAGCATCATCATAGTCCCGGCTGTCCAATGACAGTGCTGGGTGACCCAGGGCAAATAACTTAAACTATTTGTTCCTTCATCTGTAAAACAAGAGAGTAATACTTGCCTCGCTGCAGGGCTCTGGGCAGATTAGTTAATGCTTGTACAGTAGTTTAAATTAAAGCGCAGTGTATAACTGCTGAGTATCCTTACACTAATGGAGCAAACCAGTGCGTTTCTGTCTGGAGAGCAGCACTGTGAGCTGGTGTTTCAGAAGCGGTGTAACGTGGATGGCTCTGGAATAATATTTAGATGTACAGGTAATTAATGAAACATTTGTGGTGTTTAAGAAACAGCTGAGCATCACATTTACTATGAATGTAAAATAAAAACCTGAGAAAAATTGGTCTCACACTAGACTTTTACATATATTGAGATTACTTTGAAGAGCTGAAAGCACAGATGAGAGCATTTTGTATGAAAACTATCACCACCACTCTTTGATTTGAACTTTGGAGGGTGCCTCAAACACTAAAAAAAGCTGTGGATGATGCTGGGACAATCCCAGGCACAGCTACAGGTTGGGCAGAGAAGAGATTCAGAGCAACCCTGTGGAGAAGGACTTGGGGGTGTCAGTTGATGAGAAAATTGACATGAGCCGGCAGTGTGCTCTGACAGCCCAGAAAGCCAACTGTATCCTGGGCTGCATCAAAAGAAGTGTGACCAGCAGGTCGAAGGAGGTGATCCTGCCCCTCTACTCTGCTCTTGTGAGACCTCAGCTGGAGTATTGTGTGCAGTTCTGGTGTCCTCAACATAAAAGGACATGGAACTGTTGGAACAAGTCCAGAGGAGGGCCACGAGGATGATCAGGGGACTGGAGCACTTCCCGTATGAAGACAGGCTGAGAAAGTTGGGGCTGTTCATCCTGGAGAAGAGAAGGCTGCATGGAGACCTCATAGCATCCTTCCAGTATCTGAAGGGGGCCTATAAGGATGCTGGGGATGGACTCTTCATTAGGGACTGTAGTGATTGGACAAGGGGTAACAGGTTAAAATTTAAACAGGGGAAGTTTAGGTCAGACATAAGGAAGAAGTTTACTGTTAGGGTGGTGAGGCACTGGAATAGGTTGCCCAAAGGAGTTGTGAGTGCTCCATCCCTGGCAGTGTTCAAAGCCAGGTTGGATAGAGTCTTGGGTGACATGTTTTAGTGTGAGGTGTTCCTTCCCATGGCTGGGGGGTTGGAACTAGATGATCTTAAGGTCCTTTCCAACCCTAACTATTCTATGATTTTGTGATTCTGTATTGATGGGAATTAAGTGAAGAATAAAAGGTGCATGTGAGAGGTGGTCACTGCTATGTCCAGTGGTGGATGACATGGCTCATTGTCCTGGGTTCAGCTGTAACAGTTATTTTTCTCCTTCTTAGTACCTAATGCAGTGCTGTGTTTTTGACTTTAGCCTGAGAACAGCACTGATAGCACACCAATGTTTTTAGGTTTTGCTAAATAATGCTTACCCTGATCGAGGACTTTTCAGTCTCATGTTCTGCCAGTGAGGAGGGTCATGGGAATCCGGGAGGAAGCCGGGACTGGAGACCTGACCCAAACTAGCCAAAGGGGTATTCCATACCACAGCACATCATGCCCAGTATAGAAACTGGGGGGTTACCCCAAAGGCCCAGATTGTTGCTGGGGCCGAGCTGGGTATCAGTTGGCGGCTGGTGAGCAATTGTATTGTGCATCACTTGTGTTTATATTTTATCTTCCTTTTCCCCTTTTAGTTTTATATTTATATTCTCTACCCTTCTTATTTACCTTCTCATTATTATTACTGTTGGTAGTAGTAGGGTTTTTGTATCATACCTTAATTACTGGACTGTTCTTATCTCAGCCTGTGGGGTTTACATTCTTTTGATTCTCCTCCCCATCCCTCCAGGAGCAGGGGGCAAGAAGGGGGATAGTGAGCCAGCGGCTGCATGGTTCTGAGTTACTGACTGTGCTTAAACCATGACACTTACGGAGGATTTGTGTCAGGGGAGGAGTACCCTGATTGCACGTGGTAGGAGCTGTGTCTTCTGAAGTTGGGGTGGGCACTTCTCAAGCCATCGAATATTTTTGGGGAATGGTATTTTATCCAGTAGGAAATGCAAATGCAGAGCATTTTTCAGGGGAGAATCTTAAAGTATTTCTTAGAAGCACCTTAACTAATAGACATGACTGCACTTTTGAAACGTAGGTTGTTGTTTGATTTAAAGTCTACTGCTTTTGAAATACCCCAAGTGTCTGAGCTGTTTCTCTGTGCTTCTTTTTGGAAAGAACGGGCATTTGCTGGAGTAGTCTTTTCCAAAATGCATAATTTTCTTTCTGAACTATTTACTGCAAGTAATATATTTTTAAGTAATTGTAGTTGATGCACTGTGAAATACCAGCAGGGGAACAAAGCATACAATACTGAATCTGTTCAAATTAGGATGAGAGTAATCTCATATGCGTGGTGGTAGTTGTGTTTTGCTTTGACTGCTTCATACATAATTCCCTCTTCTGCATGTGCTGAGGGGAAGGAAGGATCTGAACTTGTTTGTAGAAGTCTGAATCACTAAGGAGGTTTTATTTTCTCAGTACACCTACAAATTAATTTTGTCTACTTAGTGCATTTTGTAGTCATTTTGTGTTTATTAATATGTTTTCACACATCCTTATCTGAAAGGCCTATCGTTATCATAAATGCAATCTGAAACGTTTACAACTGCATACCCTATCCAGAAAACTGTATGGGGAGTAGCTATGGATGTACTTAAGACATTTTAGCATCAGCCTCTAGACCAGAGAAGTACTTATAGAATCATAGAATCATAGAATCGTTAGGGTTGGTAAGGACCTTAAGATCATCTAGTTCCAACCTCCCTGCCGTGGGCAGGGACACCTTACGCTAAATCATATCACCCAAGGCCTCGTCCAACCTGGCTTGGAGCATTCACAACCTCCCTGGGCAACCTATTCCAGTGCCTCACCACCCTAACAGGAAAGAATTTCCTTCTTATATCCAACCTAAACTTCCCCT